CGGAGTACATCGGTAAGTCCCATAGCCGGGGCGCCGTGGCGGTGGGCGGTTATGGGGTCCTGGGGGGCCCTCCTGGCTCCAACCTCTGGGCTGGGATGGGCCCGGGGCAGCACGTGAGGCTGGCCGGGCTGGCTCTGGTGTCCTGCATCTCCACTCTCCTTGGCTGGGCCCCAGCCGTGGGCTGCTGCTGTCAGACCACATTAATCACACTCCCGGGGTGGTGGGGAAGTGCAGGGCTCTCCCTCTGGCCCCAGGCGGCAGGAGAGGACATTATGGGGCTGGGGAGGTCCCTGCAGCAGGGCAGAGTCCCATCCTTGTGCAGCAGCTCCAGGAATGGCCAGAGTAGGAGGCAGAAGGGATGTAGGCACCCAGCTCACAGGGGAGGCACAGCCCCCGGCCCAGCTCAGCAGTGGGAGGGATCCTCACCTGGCCAGAGGGTGGGAGAAACTTCCCAGGCAGGAGGTTCCTGGCACACCAGCCACTGCTCCCATCGCCATGGCCTCTGGCTGCTGAGGCCTCCCCAGCACTACCACATCAGTGGGGATGGCTGAGTGCCCACCTGCCTGTGCCCGGGCTGCAGCATTGTGGCAATGCCTGCCACACTGCCCTGGCTCTCCCATCCTGCCTGCTGTGCTGGACCGGGGCCAGTGACACTGGGATGCCCTGTGCCAGAGGCCTTGGGCACCCAGGCGCTGCCACGTCGCCGCCTCAGCCCATGAGGGTCACTTGAAGATTGAGCCTGGGGAGGGTATTTTGGCAAAGCTGCCAGTTGGCGGTGCTGGGCTGGCTGGGATTTGGAGCAAAGCTGCACTGGGGAAGGGCTGCAGCATGGGAGGGGGATATTCTCCTCTCCAAATATCCCATAAAGTGAAGCAGTGGCAGACCTTGAAGGATCCCTGCGAGAGGGATCCCTGCGAGCATAGGGGTGAAGACAACAGTGGTGTTCCTCGAGGACAGGGATGGCTGGGGAGGAGGGGAAGGGCTGGCAGCTGGCCGGCGTTTTGGGCTGAGCATGGCCCTGACAGCCTGTGGCAGCGATGCACCAAAATCCTCCCACCGGATGGGATGGGATGGGATGAGATGGGGAGGGCTGGAGTACCAGGCTGTGCCTAGGTCAGGAGCTTGCTGCTGCTGCTGAAACCAGCCTTTGCCTAAAAAATGTGCAGCAAGCTGAGGTTTGAGCCAACCACTCCTGCCTGGCCGCGGGCAGAGCAGTGCTGCCTCTTCCCAGGCTGCGTAGAAGACCAATTTCGGGGCACACCTCGGCCTCTCTCTGCTGCTGGCCTGTGCCTGGGGACACCTTCGCTCTGCAGCCAGCCCCGAGCTGGCTCAGTGGGACCCACAGTGACAACAAACCCTCTGGTGATGACAAGGCACCTGCTTTCCCGGGAGGCCCAGGCTGGGCTCCTGTTACCTGAGCCGGGCATCGCAGGGCCCCTCAGCTACAGGAGCTCCGGTTACCTAGAAAGGGCCTGGCAGCATCCTGCCTGCACTGCCCTCAGCCCTCCCCCTTGTCCCTGCTGCCAGCGAGGCCCTGGGGGGCTGTGGGAGCAGGTTGGGCTGCTCTGGGATCAGCGGGGGGGGGGTTGTGCTGCAGGAAGGGGTCTGGTGGCAGTAATGAGGGCAAGCTGGGTGGGCAGGGGGGCTGGTGGCTGTCACCATGGCAGCCGGGCGGCTTGTTTTCAGTCCTCTGGGGGGGGCTGGGAAGGCAGGCAGAGCGGATCAGGTGTCACCCACAGGGGCCAGGGAGACACTGCTGTCACCCATGCTCCTCATGGGGCAATTTGGGGCATCCTGGGGGCGCAGTGGGCTGCAGCCACCTCCATGAGAGCCCTTGGCTCGCTTGGGTGAATGGGGTTGGCTCTCCCCAAGGTGCCACTATCCCCTGCTGTTGGCTGGCCTGGAGCAGGGCTGGTGGTCCCTGGCCTGGCTGCCTTCTCAGGCACTCGATCGCCGGCAGCAAGCACAGCGGCTGGGGCTGCAGCCCCCTTTGTGTCCCTCTGAATGGCGGTTGCCAGGCACTGGGGGATGCTGGTCTGGAGGGCAGCGGCGGGTTTGGTTTCGGCCGGGGGGGGGGGGGGGGGGGGG